GCAGCTGCACCTGGTCACTACAAGAAGCTCCCGAACGACCCGCTCCAGGGCGACTCCCACCACGGCCACCCCTACAGCCCCAACTAGCGTACCACTCACGAAGCTGCTGGGGCGAAAGGGTCTCGCGCGGACGCCGCTGCAACTGCACCTGGCCACTACAAGAAGCTCCCGAACGACCCGCTCCAGGGCGACTCCCGCTACGGCCACCCCTACAACCCCAACTAGCGTACCACTCACGAAGCTGCTGGGGCATGAGGGACTCACGCGGACGTCGCTGGAGCTGCATCTGGCCACCGCCAGGAGCAGCAGTAGTAGTAGTAGCAGCAGTAGCAGCAGCAGTAGCAGCGCGGGCAGGGCAGTGCGGCTCAGTAGAGCAGGGCTGCACAGCCCGGCAGCACGACGCGGCTCGGCTGGGCGGCGCGGCGCCGCTGAGCAAGCAGGCGCGGCAGCGCGCTAGTAAGGCAGGCGCGCGGGAAGCGCAGGTAGGGCAGGTGCTCACCAGTGGCGGGAAGGGCAGGCGCTCGCCGGGCGAGCAGGGTAGGCGCACGACGGCGGCAACGGCGGGGCCGCGACAACTGCAGGGCGGGGCCGCGACCGCGGCAGGGGCCTCCGCGGCAGCTGCTGCAGGGCAGCGCCGCGACTGCGGCAGGGGGGCTCCGCGGCAGCTGCTGCAGGGCGAGGCCGCGACTGCGGCAGGGGGCTCCGCGACGAGCAGGGACGGCACTCAAGGGGGGGGGGGGGGGGGGGGCGCGACGAGCAGCAGCAGTAAGAGCAGGGCGGCATGCAGCCAGAGCAGGGCGGCGCGCGGCCACAGCAGGGCAGTAGCATGTAATAGCTCATAGGGCAGAAGCACCTAGGGCCCCTTTTTTTTTAAATAAATATTTTAATTTTATTTAGGGTTTAGCAGGGCGCTGGCGCAGGGCAAGGCGCAGGCGCAGGGCAGGGCGCGGGCGCAGGGCAGGGCGCTTGCGCAGGGCAGGGCGCCAGCGCGCGCAGGGCAGGGCGCTGGCGTAGGGCAGGGCGCCATCGCGCGTAGGGCAGGGCGCTGGCGCAGGCTGCAGCAGTGCGTGACGCGACGGGTTGCCTTAGGGCGCGACGCGCAGGCTGCAGCAGAGCGCGACGTGCGAGGCAGCAGCGCGCGACTCGTGGGCTGCCTTAGGGCGCGACGCGCGGGCTGCAGCAGAGCGCGACGCGCGGAGCAGCAGCGCGCGACGTGCGGGCTGCGGTAGGGCGCGACGCACAGGGCCGCAGCACGGGCGTAGGGCTGGGCGCAGGCGCAGGTCAGGGCGCTGGCGCAGGGCAGGGCGCCGGCGCAGGGCAGGGCGCTGGCGCAGGGCAGGGCGCCGGCGCAGGGCAGAGCGCTGGCGCAGGGAAGGGCGCTGGCGCAGGGCAGGGCGCCGGCGCAGGGCAGGGCGCTGGCGCAGGGTGACGCCAGGCAGGGCAGGGTAGGGCGTGCGCTAGGCAGCGCGACATGGGGCAAGACAGGGCGTGCGCGGGGCAGCGCGACGCAGGGTAGTGGGGTAACGCGGTAACCGCAGTCGAAAGCTAAATATGGTGGGCCCGAAAAAAAAACGGTCCTACGGACCTACTGCTCTGATACCATGTGAAGAAAGCAAGCAGGAATGACTAGAAACAAGGCAGTACAAGGTTTGTATAGGCAAAACCTAACAATACTGTACTCCATAAGGAGTGCCCCACTACAGTCTACAATATAGTTCTGACACCTTTGATAAGCGCGTGAAAGGTTATCTAGGCTCGATATAAGCGGATCATCGCCGAACCAGACAATAATGGAATGCCAGCCGAACACCCCTTTTAACGCTGGCATTTTCCACCAGTGGAACCTTCCTCGAACCACATTTCTCAGGCAAACTGTCCATTTTCTCATCCGCCGCACCATGCGGCCTCGAGGTCCCGCACCATGCGGGGGATCATTGATTCGGGGCAATCACACCTTGCCCTGAAAAAAACAAATCCCGGTCTTTCTCACCCCTCTTCGTGCCCGCTGGAAAATCGCACATCACCAACACACCATCACTAACACATCGAACGGACAGTTTCCCTTCGCCGAATTTTTTCGGCGTCCACCGCTAGTTTGCAGGGCTGCCCGGGCTGCCAAAACAGTGATTCTGCGCTCCATCAGCGCGGTTGCATACAGGCTTCTCCGAAGTGTCGTTTTCGGTTGATGCCATTAATCTTGGCTCAGTTAATGCCAACCGAAAACTCGGGCCCATTTTTCCGAAGTTTCACTGCAGCTACAGTCTGTTTCTTGGGGCCATTTTTTGGGGGCCCGTTAAAAATGCCCATAATGGCGATAATGGCGAGAATGCCTGCCGAACTGGGCCTCCATTACACAGGTTCGGCGTTACGACAATCGCCCTCGCCTTCACTTCTGCTCCCACTTTCCCCAGTACAATTCTCCCTTGAATGTTCGGATACACCTGGACCGGCGTATCTGGCAGCATGGATTCGAGCTTAGCCCCAACGGCTACTGCTGATAGCTGTGGATAAGTGAAGCGCCTGGCGAGCACGTTGTACCAGTTAATGATGACCATTGCAGTTACGTTGTTAAGGGTTCTGGATCCCAGGGCGTTAAGGCCCTTTGTGGTGGGGATCAGGAGAGTGGTGATGGCGAATAAGAGTACCCCACCAGAATAACTCCTCACTGTGTGTGTGGGGTGGGTGGGGGGGAGGGAGAGGGGAGGGAGGGTAGGGGAGGGGGGTTCAAGAGGAGGGGGTGAGGTGAGGGGGAGAAGGGTGTTGAACGTGTTCCGGATGGGAGGATTGAAAAAAGCGGGGTGAAGGGAGGTAGAAAGACGCATTGATGATCATGCGTCCGTTCATTTAAGCTCTCTTAAGAAACGCTCGATATCTTACAGTGACTGATGAGTGCACCACAAGTGCTATGCTGTATAGTGCTGTAGCACGATTAAGCCTACCATGAATATGAATATTAGTGTGACTATCACTCGTACAGGGAACGAGCTTGTGCTTGTGGTTCCTCGTTTCATTTCGTGAGATGCACGCCGCTTGTCGGGTAGACAATTTGTAGCGTCACATTGTGACATTATCGCACTCGTCGATAGTAGTAATGGATAGTAGCACGCTCACGCATTTCGTCGATCGATTGGAGGGACGTCTTGAACTGGGGGAGCTTCTGCACAGCTTCTGAGACGTCTCAGCACTCGTTGACAGTAATAGAAACCCCACACACACACGCATCTCACGCACACTCACGTATCTCGTCGAACTTTTGCAGGGACGCCTTGTACTGTGGGAGCTTCTGCACGGCTGCGCGACAGTTCCTCAACTCCGTCTTTACTTGTGCGACAGTCGGTGCGGCGTGCGATTGGGTGACGCCGACGCATAGTAGAAGCATCGCACATGCGACAGCGGGCGACGACGTTTGTAAAGGTCGCCGCGGCGACGTCGCGTGCGCCATTGTCGGCTGGAGGCACGGGATGTGACCAGCTTCGGCCCTGCTTTGCGACACGGGCTTGGCAAACTCTCGCTATTCGCTCGAGGAAAAGAATGCTGAATCGACAAGGCACGGTACGAAGATAGAGAGCTCTGCTCCTCAGGTCCCAACCCCACTAGTGGCTCAACTGGAAATTGAGACCACTGTTTGGGGGATGACACCATAGCGAGAGCTCATCGAGTCAAGAGGGTGAGCCGCTTCGCCGGCTGGAGTCGCTCGCTTCGCTACCCCACCTCACTGCCGCTCACTCCCACTTGCACAGAGGGGTTTCGCAAAACGCACCAGCCGTTCACCACCTTCCTTCCACAATACAGGGTATACTAGTGCCGACCTGGAGTTTTCTCAATGTAGGACTGTATTCTTAGCCATAAAAAACATTTGTTAGACTGTTTCACTAACACGTGTGTAATTCATGGGTGACAAAAAGACATGGAAATTGAATTTTATTTCATCATTGCGATTAATTGAATGCTTAGGGACCGTACAGTAATCAGATGGTATGATATCTCAGTTATAACATTTAGGTATGTTCTGAGATAATTTACATTCTTATATAGAACTCATCATCTTCTTTGTGCACCAAACGGACTAGGAGACATCTGAGGTTTACTTAAGTAGGATTCTTGGAATTGTGAATGATTGTATCGGTTTCAAATACAGTAATCGTGAATGTGCTCCTTTCAAACAGTGTTCCTCATCGAAGTTTCTACCATGAAAGCGAACGACGTCAGCATTGACGCTTTGAGGGCGGTTTGTCGGTGCTATGATACACATCTCGTTGTCGGCGGCAGGGTGTTTGCATTGCAAGAGTCTAGCGTAGGCCGACGTGAGATCGCATCATTGGCCCAGCATTTATAGCCACAATTCCCAAAACACGTCGAACTATACGGCTCGTCGGAGAATCGAACCGCCCCCAATTTCAGACACGGAGGTTTGTCCTTCGCCAGATGCCACGGAGTCAGACCACACGGAGCCGCCAGGCGTTTCGCACTGTGTTACGTTCCGACTGGCTTTCCGTCCGTCGACTCCTGACCATCAGTCTCGTCCCATCCCATGCCCATCGCACGCCGCACGAACCATCCTTTCCACACCGAACAGAACCCACCCAAACCCATTTTTCCAACACACAACTACTGTACCAGGAAGTCGCACACACCACGCTACCCCGCAACCAAATGATTTACAGGAACGACCACCACCCATTTCACGGCCATCACCGAACACCGTCTGTGTCACCTGCATCCTCTCGTGCAGCCAGACTAGTCTATAAGAAGCCCACATTACTTTCGAAGGTGACTCACCGCCTCCGCCCACTTTCGTTGAGTGTGAAGCGATTCTTCACTCTCTCCTTGTGGTGTCCTCGCTTGATTACCATCTTCGACTGCAGAAAGTTTCCTAATCAGGACGCAACCTATATCCTGTTGAAATCCGCAGGAGACCTTGTCCATCCCTAGGCTACTAAGGCTCGGAGTATTCATACTAGCCGCGAACTGCTTATCGTGGAGCAAGTCTCGTAGAGGCAATGGCGTTTTCACGCTCACACACTTTCTCTCTACTCGCGGCTCTGCTGCTGCTGGCTGTCTGCGCGGACGCAGCGCCGACGGTGGCGCAATTCCGAAAAGAACTCACGGCGCTGAGGGCGGTGGTTAAGCAGCAGAAGAACTACTCGGCGTTCGTGAGAGGCATCGACAGAATGCGTGAGTACTTTGATTCATGCATGCGAGAAGAGCGGTGTCCTTAAGTCACACGCATGCCCGACGAGCACATTCGGATGGATGCTCAAATGGTATCAAGTGCACAACTTAGCGCGACTACTCGCACAAATATTGTAAAAACACACCAAGCTGCGCGTCGATGCTTTAAGATGCGAGTGTGCAATGACGCACGGTCGCTGTTTTATTCTTAGTCTTCCTTCACGACGGATTGCGTTACATCGTTTCCAAACCCCAATTCGTCCTCTTTCTTTCGTTCCATTTGCCGCATCGACCATCTCGCGTCCATTGCATTCGCGGCTCACCGTCTCTTTCTCCCTCCCAACTCATCCGCCTATCCCCCCTTCCCCCCCTTTCCCCTCCCCCCACAATACAGTCCAGTACCCCGACTCAATGCTGCCTCAGATATTCAACACCACGCTACTCATCCCCACCAACAAAGCCATAATGAGCCTTGGCATTCCAACCCTAAAGAACAATACCGCAATGGAGGCCATCGGGAAATACAACGTCCTGCTGAAGCAATACACGGGCGCGCAGCTGCTGAAGCTCGCTAAGAACACGCTGCTTAAGACTAAGGCCAAGGATATGTTGGTGCGGTACGCGTCCACCGGCGCGAATGCCGGGAAAATCGTGCTGCGCCCTCCGAGTGCACCTGCTGCGAAGCAGGGGGTTGTGGTGACTGCTGATCTCTACACGGGCAAGTTCCTCAAGGCGCATGGCTTGTCCGCGTTTTTCCGCCCCAAGGGTTATTGAAGGGTTGAAATGGTTCTTGGGTGCTATGCTGCTTGCTTATTGGCGCAGCTACTGTACCCCAAGTGTACATCGCAGCTACCCTTAAAATGGATGCCCTACCTCGTATCAGAGTCTTGTGTCAGTCAGGACGTGTCTCTCGCAGCAGTGTGATTGCCTTATTACAAGGCCAGGTGAAGATCCTCCTGACACGAGGCTCTGACACTAGGTTAGGAGGCCCTTAGTCTGTGGATTACATGTGATACTGTAGTGCCATGCTACTCCAAATTTAGGTACTTGTAATATTCTTCTGAAGCTGAGATATTCGCAGTTTGCACTACCTGGAGCAAAAGAAGAGTAGCTGTGACTCGAAAGCAAGGGGTGCACAAGCGTGCAAATTCTGTTCCTTCTTTGGAGCAAGTGTCATAGTTGGAAAACACGCAAAACTATATGGATGATCAAGGTGTAGCTCAAGAAATTTGTAGCGAGTCCCCCGATCTTCGCATCCTGCTTCCACTCCAATCTGATCACCCAGCCTAGAGATTTCCAAATTCCAATAAGTTCACGTCTGCCTGATTCCACTTCAACTACATCAAGAGCTCATGAGCAGGAGGAAACAACGCCAGCATGAAGCGACACCATTAGCACGCGTACGCGGGATGTGCTACGTGCGACGTGCTGCGTTGGGACGTTCTGCTCTGCATGCGACATAAAACGCGATCCCGTCCTCCTGCGCGCATAGAACCATCTCTAATTCGAGCAAGCAAGCTCGCACCTTCGGACCCGCGCTACGTCCTGTTACGCCTCGGTCTCTCGCAACATAACCTCAACACGATAGACTTGTGAAGAACCGATAGTATAGAAAGCCAGTGAACAAGAGTATCGCCTTAGTACCACCGCTGCTACTATCTATCTCCATCCTTCCATTCACTGTTGCTGCTGCTGCTGCTGCTGTCGGTTCCGTTTTCGGCGCAAGGCAAGGAATTTCGGGTGGAAAGTCGGCGGAAAGATGGGAGGCGCGGCTGCTAATGATGGTGCTACGGCCGGGTCTACAGAAGGCCGTATGCTCGCGAGCGGTTTTATTCAGCTAATGAGTTGAGTGCGGTTCTGATGGGTTGAGTTCCTCTCATGAATACTTCCGTGGTGCTGATGAGTCTAGTGCGGTTATGAGAGGATGGTGAAGGCGCCTTGCGAACATAGTAGCTTAGTGCTTTCAGCGTAAAGGCAGCGCAGAGGTCACTAAATTCTGATTATTGGCCTAGCTGCCACTGCTCCATCTCAGCCAAATCATCGTTCGACTTCTTTCTCCGCCATATTCTTTTTTGTTCTTCCTTTTCATTTTTTAGTAAATTGCGCTGCTTCTGTGAGTTGCGTCCTCCTTTCCTCCCCTGCTTCACCCTCCTCTTGCCCTTCACCCTCCACTTCCCCGTCACCTTACCTTCCTGTTCACCCTCCCTTCCCCTGCACCCACCCCCCCCCCTCACGCAACAGTGTCGCAGGTGTCGTCGCGAGTGGTAACATTCCTCATGAATCTCGTCATCGCCAGACGCCTCTCGCCACAGGAGTTTGGGGTACGCCTGCCTGCTGCTCTTCTCGTCTGACCGGACCATTGCTGCTATTTTGACCACAGGGGCTTTGTTTTTGTTTTTTTTTGTGTTTTTTTTTTCACAGCTCCTGCTATTCAGACCTCTGCTGACACTCCGAATTCTTCTCTTCTCTCTCTCTCCTTCCCCCTTCCACCCAACCACAACCCCCACCCCCCTTTCACCTCCTCTTTTTCTGATGGAAGCGGTGCAATTCCAGCTGCTCACATCCACCATTCCCGTCCATTGTTGAGACGCGCTCTTCTTTCCCCTTCCCTCCCCTCACCGCTCTCCCTCCCCTCGCCCCCCCTCCTTCCCCCATCAGATGGCAGCGGTGCAGTTCCAACTGCTCACATCCACCATTCTCTTTTAACAATAAGATGTGCTCACTGTTCCACTCCCTCTCTCCCCCAATCCCCCCCCACCCCGCCACCCACCCTACCCTGGCCGTCAGATGGCAGCGGTGCAGTTCCAGCTGCTCACATCCACCATTCTCTTCGTCAGCAGAGAGGGCTTCCGCAGAGGCTGCCTGCGAGCCGACGGGTGAGTTCTGAGTCGAGTCGACTCAAACAAAGCACAGCTAATGAGTGAGCTGACTGCTCCTTGTGTTCCCTAATCTGCTTGCACTCGTCTCTCCTCCTCTCTCCTCTTCTCTCCTCTCCTTGACTCCTATTCTCTCGTTTTTTCTTCTCTTCTCTTCTCTTCTTTGCTTTGCTCTCCGTTCCCTCTTCCGTTTCTCTTCCCTCCCCCACACCCCCCCTTTCCGTGTCTTGGCCTCTTATTCCCTTTCTTCCTTTCTTTCTACTCCCCCCCGGCCCCATCCCCAACCCCCGCGCCAGCAACACCGATTCCTCCTCCTCCGCCTCCTCCCCCGCCTCACCCCTCTACTGGGCGCGGATGGTCTCAGCAGCATGGCTGGTCGTCCCTACAGGCATCTCCCTAGCAGCAGCAGCCTGTGCCTTCGTGCTGCATTACCAGCATCTCCCTCTCTCAGACCCCTACGCCCAAGCCATTCTCCTCCACGGGGTGGCAGCAGCAGTGGAGTTGGTATCAGAGCCGCTGTATATCCTGTCCCAGGCGCTGCTGCTGGTGCGGTTGAGAGCGGTGCTGGACGCCGTTGCAACGGTGGTGCGGTGTGTGGTGACGCTGCTGCTGGTGCTGGGGGGGATTGGCAGGGTGAGTGAGTGGTGATTCGCATGGGGTGGGGTGGTGGTAAGGGTAGGGGTAAGTGGGGCGAATGGCTGGACGGGATGGGAGGGCTGGTGTTTGCCTATGCAGAGCTGGCTGTTAGCACCCCCGTTGTAATCAGCTATCAGGACACCAACGAATCTCAATCCCAATCTCTCTTTCCCCTTCATTTCCCCCACCTTCCTAGCTTCTCTGCTGCAGACGGGAGGGCTGATTTTCGCCTATGCGGAGCTGGCCTTCAGCTCCTCCCTTGTCATCGGTGACTGGGCAACATGACATTCTATTCCCCCCCTCATTCGCTCTTCATTGTCCCCCATTGCATCATCCTGTTCCCACACCTTCTCACGCCCTGCTTGCAGACTGGGGGACTGGTGTTCGCCTATGCGGAGCTGGCCTTCAGCTCCTCCCTCGTCATCGGCTACTGGGGTTTCTTCCTGCTCCACCCCTCCGTTCGAGCTCTGGGTCCCAGTCAGAGCGGAGAGGAGAGAGATGTGGCAGAAGGCAGCAAGAAGCAGGAGGGGGAAGGAGGAGAGGGAGAAGGGAAAGGAGAGGGAGGAGGCGAGGGAGAGGGAGGGCTTAGGAGGCGAGCAATTGGGAGGGATGGAAAGGAGGGATCTGATGGGGGGAAGTTGCAGGAAAGGCACGGAGGGGAGAATGAGGTGGGAGGTAGTGCTGGTGAAGGGTCTGGTGCCATGATTCCGCTGCTACCGTGCAAGTGAGTTTCTGGAGACGCAGGATTTGTCTTCTGAGGAGCTTCAAATAGAGACAGGGAAGGGAGGGAGGAGGGGATTGGGGGGGGAAGGGGAGAGAATGCCAGTCCTGGTGAAGGGTCTAGTGCCATAATTGAAGAATTCCGTTACTTTTCATGCCATCTAGTACTAATGAGTGATTGTAGAACTGCCTCCCTCCATGCCCTTCATCGTTCCTCACGTCCTGTGTGAGTGATTCATGAGAATTCTCAGAAGCTGCTCACAAGGTTTCACTACTCCCATGCCCTTCATCGTTCCCCACGTCCTACCCCCCACACCCCCACTTGCTGACATTCCCCCTTCCCCCAAACCCCTTAACTCCCTGACTCCCCCAACTCTACACCTCCCAAACCCCCCACCTCCGCACCTCCCAGGCTCCCAGGCCGCCCGCTGCTGCACTGGCCGCTGCTGCGGCTGTGTGGGGCGTTCTCGCTGCAGGCAGCGGTGAAGCAGGTGCTGGGGAAGGGCGATGAGATGGTGCTGGTGGCCATGGAGAGCGCGTACAACCAGGGCGTGTACGGGCTCGTGGTCAAGCTGGGTGCGTTGATGGTTTTTGGTGGTGCTGGTGGTGGTGCTGGTGATTGTGCTGGTGGTGTTGGTAGTGGTGGCGGTGCTGGTGGTTGGGTGGGTGTTGTATGGGTCACGAGATGGTGCTGGTGGCCATGGAGAGCGCGTACAACCAGGGCGTGTATGGACTCGTCGTCAAGCTGGGTGCGTTGATGGTTGTGCTGGCGTTTGTGTGGGCGTTGTATGGGTGAAGAGAAGGCCTTTGGAGTGCCTCAGAAGGTGGCTCTCGAGAGTGTGTAGAACCAGGGCGTGTATGGGCTAGGCAGCGGTGAAGCAGGTGCTGGGGAAGGGCGACGAGACGGTGCTGGTGGCCAAGGAGGGCGTGTACAACCAGGGCGTGTATGGGCTCGTGGTCAAGCTGGGTGCGTGGCTGGGCGGTGATGGGTGGGTGGTGGGTAGTGGGTGGTGGTTTGGTGGGTATAGAGATGGCTTATGGGGAGAGCTCGTATAACCAGGGCGTGTATGGGCTTGTGGTGAAGCTGGGTGCGTGGCTAGTGGGTGTTCGTTGTATGTGTAAGGATGGGTAAAGTGAAAGAGCAAACCAGTACATGCCATGCCATGCCATGCCATGCTATGTCATGCTATGTCATGCCACGTCATGCCACTAATTCACGGGATTCAGTTTCACAAGACGCTTTGTTTGCTCTTCCTTTCTCCACCATTTTCATGCCATCCGTGCCATGCCATGCCATGCCCATCCATAACTGTTTTTTCTCACCCATTGCAATGCATCACCATGCGACACCACTCCACACCACACCACACCACACCACGCCATGGCAGGCAGTCTCGTGGTGCGCTCTGTCCTACAGCCATTCGAGGAGAGTGCGTTCATCATATTCGCCCGCACTGCTCCCTCCCTTGCCTCCGCGTCTCACACCGCTCATGCTCCCAATGCTGTCGGAAAGGAAGGTGAGGAGGACAAGTGTGCGGGTTATGTGAAAGGAGAGAAGTATGTGATAAAGGGGACGGAATGGGATGGGATGGGATGGGATGGGATGGGATGGGATGGGATGGGATGGGATGGGATGGGATGGGATGGGATGGGGTGAGACCTTATGGCATGGAATATGAGAGATGACGATGTTGACTCAAGCATACCCTATGGCCCTGTCTTCCTCCTCTCCCTTTTCATCACCTTTTTCCAGCCCTGCTGCCTCCATACTGTGTCCCTCGCTCGCCTTCCCTCACTCCACTCCTCTTCAGCTCCGCCCCTGCTCCCTCTACACGAGATTCCACCTTCACCCCACTCCACATCCGCCCAACCCCCCTCCGCTCCACACCCTCTCCCCCTACTCCCCCACCCTGCTTCCACTCTGCGCCACGTTCCCCCATCCGGCCCTGCTCCCCTCCCCCCTCCCTTCCTCCTCCTTTCCCCCCTCTCTCCCCCCATTGCTCCCCATGCTCCCCCCTCTCAGGCAGCAATGCGAAGGGGGGACGTGAATCAGTGGCCAGAGTGCTGCTACTGGCAGTGAAGGCTGTGAACGTGCTAGGTAAGCTGGGCTGGCTAAACTTTCCAGTCGACTCTCATCTCAAGTCACGTGTTCTGGCAAGGCAGGTTGCCTTTGCCTCGTGTGCCAAGGCCAAGGCCAACCCAACCCAACCTGTATCTGCAAGCCATTGTCCATCACTTCGTGGCTGCCCTGCTGTTCTCAAAGGCTGACTGCGTGCGTGTGTACGGACATCATTAGACGAGCAGAGGATGCAGATAGCAGAGAATTAAGAGGCGAACAGGGATGCCTTGGAATGCATTTGCCTCGTGTTTGCCTCCTGATCTTCTGCTATTTGCATCAAAGGCTCGTCTAGCGAGCAGGTTTCGTATGCGTGGTGTTTAGTCTGGTCTGCCTTTCTCTCTTTCTCTCTGCTCTCGCTTCCACTGTTACAGTGTCACCTGCCGTCCCAGTTGAAGCTGATTCTGAGAATTCTCTCAGAACCAACCTCAACAAAAATGGTGTTCAGTCTGCCTTTCTCCTCTCTGCTCTCGCTTCCGCTCTCACCTGCCATCACATTGCATCTCCTCTACTCCCCCTCCCATCCGCCTCCTCCCCCCTGCTCCCCCCCTCCTCAGCTCTCATATTCCTGGTGTTCGGTCCGCCCTTCTCCTCCTCGCTGCTCTCACTTTCTGCTCTCAACCTTTTCCCCCTCCCCCTCCCTCTTCCCCTCCCCCGCTTCCCCCTCCCTCCGCAGGGCTCATATTCGTGGCATTCGGGCCGCCCTTCTCCTACTCGCTGCTCTCACTGCTCTACGGCCCCACCTGGACCGCCACCGAGGCTCCACTCTCCCTCGCCTGCTACTGCCCCTACATCATGGCCCTCGCTCTCAACGGTGAGAGGAAGGGGAAGGGCAGAGCTCTCTAGAACGAGTGAGACACATCCCTTCGCCGCACTCCTGTGCGCTCCCTCCTGTGCTCTCTCATGCTCTCTCCCCTGCTCTCCCTCGCCTGCTACTGCCCCAACACCATGGCACTCGCACTCAACGGTGAGAGGAGGAGGTGGGAATGGATGGGCTGATGGGTGAGGGGAAAATAGGAAAGGCAGAGATTTGGAATGAGTGAGAGAAAGGCTTCCCACTCTCCCTCGCCTGCTACTGCCCTTACATCATGGCACTCGCTCTCAATGGTGAGAGGGGTGGAAGGGGACGGACGTGCAGCAGAGCTCTATAGAATGAGAAGGCAGATGACTCCCCGCACTGCACCGCTTTCCCTCGCCTGCCACTGCCCCTATATCATGCCAAGCACTCGCTGGTGAGAGGAAGGATTGAATGAGCTCAAAGGAAGAGGTGGGGAGGAGTTGGAAAGGCGGACACTAGGAATGAGTGAGAAGAGACCTCTGTTTTGCTCTCCCTCGCCTGCCACTGCCCCTTCATTATGGCGCTTCACACTCACCGGTGAGAAGAGGGGGGGGGGGGGGGGAGGAATGGGATGGGAAAAGGGAGCACGGAAGGAAAATCAGAGAGCCTATCTCACTCGCCTGCTACTGCCCCATACATCATGGTGCTCGCGCTCTTGGGCCAAATCTTTTGAGGCGCCTCAAAAGTTGCCCCTACATCATGGTGCTCGCGCTCTTGGGCCGAATCCACACCACCCCTCCCTCTCTGAACCTCGACTCTCCCCGGCCCCTTTAATCCCCCCGTTCCCCACTCCTCCCTGCCTTCCATGCAGGCGTTTGCGCACATGGTGCTGAGTGAGAGGCAGCTAGCTCAGTCCAATACGAGCCTCAGAGTTCTCTAATTCACCATTTCCCACATCCCCTCATCCCCTCCTCCATTGTTGTCCCCATTCCATCACCAGGCGTCACAGATGCGTTTGTGCACACTGTCCTGAGTGAGAGGCAGCTGAGGCAGTGTGAGCCACCGCCAAGTTCTCAACCCACCCATTCCGTGCAGGCACCACAGAGGCGTTTGTGCACGCAGTGCTGAGTGAGAGGCAGCTAGCTCAATCCAACGGGTGGCTGCTGCTCTTCTCGCTGCTGCACATGGCGCTCAGTGCACTGCTCATCCGCGTGGCCTCCTCCCCCGGGCTCATACTCGCCAACTGCTGCAGTGCGTGGGCTTTCCTTCCCTCCCCTCCTCCGTCTTCCCCTCCCCTCCTTCCCCCCTCCCTCCCCCTTCTCCCCTCCGTGCGTCAACTTCTTGTTTTCTCTTGTTCTTTCTTTCTTTCTTGCTTGCTTTTTTCCTTTCTGGTCTTGGTTTTTTTTTTTTGTGATAAGGCAAGACGCATTCTCGTGTTGCGTTTCCCGTGTTGTGTGTGTTACCCGTCGCAGACATGGCAATGAGGATCGCATATTCGGCTACCTTCATCAGTCAATACTTCAAGGTGCCTTCTTTACCTTGTGAGGTGCAAGCATCTCACTGGCGAGTTTGGAGGCGTCTCATAACGTATCTGTGCATCTCACTGGCGTGGAAAGCCATGAAGAATGCCCTGGGCGCTCTGCAGTTTAGAAAAAATCATTTAGCGGAAGATCGACGGTTGAGTTGTATTTCTCGATGCATCCCACTGGTCAGACTGCTGGCTCTGTTATATGTTTGGTCAGACCATCTAACGTAGAAAAAATCACCCCATCTCGTCCTCTCTCTCCCTCCCCACCTCCCTCCCCCCCTCCCCTCCTCCCCCCCTCTCCCTCCCATCAGACAACGCCCAAATTCCCGCTGTGGCACTCACTACCCTCCCTCCCAGTGCTTGCATCCTTCGCAGCAGCCTCTTGTTGAGTCGCCTAAAAAATTATCCCTCCTCTCCTCCTTCCCTCCCTCCCTCCCTCCCCCCAGACAACGCCCAACTTCTCTCTGTGGCACTCGCTGCCATCCTTCCCAGTCCTCGCATCCTTCGCAACAGCATCCCTCATCTCCTTCGCCTCCCAGCACCTCCTCCTCTTCCGCAGAAGCTACATCTCTCCTTCCTCCCCTCCCTCCCCTTTCTCCGCGGCCTCCCTCGCCCACATTGCTATTGGCGCGCTGTGCTTTGCAGCTGTCATGGGCGCATTGTGAGTCTGAAGGAAGGGCATGGGGAAAAAGGAGAAGATAATGAAGGAGGGGAAGGGCATGGGGCATGTAGTAACATTGCTATTGGCGCGCTGTGCATTGCTGCCGTAATTGGCGCATTGTGAGTGCGAAGAGGGAAGCCTTGGGGAGAAATAGAAGACAGAGGCCTTGCTGTGGGAGGGGCTTAAGGGCTCGAGGGTTGGGAGAGAGGGAAGGGCATGTGAGAATGTTAAGGAGGGGACATGTGGTAAGAATGCTGTTATTGGTAAGCCACATGTCCCCCACCGCTGCACTTTGTTGTCATGGCTGCCAGTGAGGAGGCTTGGATCCTCCGTCTCTCATTTTACCTCCCTCGTCCCCTCTTTTCGAGTCGACTGAACAGTCCCCTCTTAATCAACTCTGCCTCGATTCCCTTCCTTCCCCGTGTCCCCCTGTTGTTCCCCCCCTCATCTCCCCGTTCCTCACCCCCCCGCATTTCCACCTTCAGGTGGCATTGGGAGAGGAAGTTCTTCGCAGAGCTCAAGGCAACTTCAAGATCAGCCAAGGCGAGCAAGCAGGAGTGAAGGGTGGTGAGACATGTGCTGGTGTGAAGGGAGGAAGGAGCACAGGTTCTATTTTGAGTCGACTCAAAACACGAAGCTTTTCGCAGAGCTCAAGGCAACTCTGAGATCAGCGAAGGCGAGCAAGTAGGAGTGAAAGGAGGCATGTGCGGGTTTGAATTGAGGAATGTACGATCTAGTACTGGTTCTAGTGGGGTTGCGGATTTATGCTGTGCTAATGATGCCTAATGAGGGGAAATTGGATGCAGCACTAGTGGTGGTTTTACACAACACGATGGAAATGCTCTTTAGCTCTAAACAGGAGCCTCATTTCACGTTCATCAACCACAAAAACGTTTTCAAGCGCATTGGGTACAAATTTGCCTGCTAAGTTGCAAACGTTTTCACTGTTTCACAGCGGTTTGCTTTCTAGGGAGTACGGTTAGAGAATGTGTTGCAGTAGCACAGCCAGGAACAAGTACGGTATCAAGCTGAAACAAAAATGGCTCCAGCTAGCTGGAGGCGCCTTCAGGAGTAGCAGAGCAGTGGCTGAAGAAGTAGAGATAGCCCATGTCCTTGGGGGGGTCTTGTGGAAGAGGGAGGGGGGTCTTGTGAAAGAGGGAGGGGAGTCAGCAGCGCAAGCAAGCACAGCCGAGCAGAGAGGGGGGAGGGTGCTTGCACAGCTAGCTGGAGGTGTCAGCAGGAGCAGCAGAGCAGCGGCGGAAGAAGTAGAGGTAGCCCATGTCCTTTGGGGGGGTCTTGGGAGATGTCCACCTCGCCCCCCCCAATCGCATCCCCTACACCGTCCCCTACACTGACCATCCTGTTTGCATAGCTAGCTGGAAGCCGCCTCAGCAGGAGCAGCAGCAGCAGAGCAGCAGCGGAAGAAGTAGAGATAGCCCATGTCTTTGAGGGGGTCCTGGGAGACAGCCACCTTGGCATCGTTGAACAAAACCCACTCGCAAGCCACCAGGAGTAGGGCAAGCAGGTATGCCTGCCTGACTCCAGCTAGCTGGCGGCATCAGCAGGAGCAGGAGCAGGAGCAGCGGAGCAGCGGCGGAAGAAGTAGAGATAGCCCATGTCTTTGGGGGGGTCTTGGGAGACGGCCACCTTGGCATCGTTGAACAGCACCCACTCGCCCCCCGGCCCCTTGCGAATGTGTGCCACGTAGTGCCCGCACTGCGTGTTCGCCCCCATGTGGCTCACAAATGCAAACAGTTCGTAGGCTGTGTGGCGGAGAGGAAAGGGGGAGAGGGGGGAGAGCGGGGATAGGGGAGAGGGGAAGAGTGGGGAGGGGGGAGAGGAGGTGTAGATGGGCAGAAGTAGAGAAGACAGCGGGTGCAGCTGCAGCAACGCAGCCGCCACCAGAGGAAGGCAAACAACCTGTCCTGTAGGAAACGTGGGGAGGAGGAGGACGACTAGGAACGAGACAAACGAGGGGGAGAGTGTGGTAGGGAATGGATGTGTCAAACGAGAGTGTAATGAGAATGACTTACTTCCAGGGCCGTCTGACACTCTCGCTGTCGGATCAATGGCTGACGCTGCTGCATTCCCTGGAGGCTGCACATCCATAGGAGTGGGTTCTGCAGCCGCAGCAGCAGGAGGCGCTTCTGCTTCTGCCGGGTTGTTCAGGATCCAATCCGCTGCCCTCTCCACATCGCCTCCCTGCAGTAGATAACAAAGAGGGAAACGAAGAGTGGGGTGAGGAAGAATTGCAGGCAGCAGCAGCGTTGGAGTCGACTCGAAGTTCGCTTCTGCTGGGTTGTTGAGGATCCAATCCGCTGCCCTCTCCACACCCCCTCCCCGCAGTCGAAAGGAAAGAGGAAAATGGGGAGTGAGGTGAAAGAGCAATGTAAGCAGTGGTAACAGGGTGAAGGTGATGGTCGGTTGGGACGAGGGCAGCGGAAACACAAGGGGGCGGCTTGACGGTAGGTAGTTGAAACACAAAAATAAACAGCCGAAACAGCCCCAGCAGACAACGAGGCAGTGAGAGCATTGCGAGCAGCAGTGTCCGAGAAACCAAGGGACATGGGCGTTGCCCGAGCACCACTTCTGAGGCGCCTCAAAAGTCGTCTCAGTTCACGCGGATTTTGAGGCGCCTCAAAAGTCGTCTCAGTTCACGCGGATTTTGAGGCGCCTCAAAAGTCGTCTCAGTTCACGCGGATTTTGAGGCACCTCAAAAGTCGTCTCAGTTCACGCGGATTTTGAGGCGCCTCAAAAGTCGTCTCAGTTCACGCGGATTTTGAGGTGCCTCAAAAGTCGTCTCAGTTCACGCGGATTTTGAGGCGCCTCAAAAGTCGTCTCAGTTCACGCGGATTTTGAGGCGCCTCAAAAGTCGTCTCAGTTCACGCGGATTTTGAGGCGCCTCAAAAGTCGTCTCAGTTCACGCGGATTGTGAGGCGCCTCAAAAGTCGTCTCAGTTCACGCGGATTTTGAGGCGCCTCAAAAGTCGTCTCAGTTCACGCGGATTTTGAGGCGCCTCAAAAGTCGTCTCAGTTCACGCGGATTTTGAGGCGCCTCAAAAGTCGTCTCAGTTCACGCGGATTTTGAGGCGCCTCAAAAGTCGTCTCAGTTCACGCGGATTTTGAGGCGCCTCAAAAGTCGTCTCAGTTCACGCGGATTTTGAGGCACCTCAAAAGTCGTCTCAGTTCACGCGGATTTTGAGGCGCCTCAAAAGTCGTCTCAGTTCACGCGGATTTTGAGGTGCCTCAAAAGTCGTCTCAGTTCACGCGGATTTTGAGGCGCCTCAAAAGTCGTCTCAGTTCACGCGGATTTTGAGGTGCCTCAAAAGTCGTCTCAGTTCACGCGGATTTTGAGGCGCCTCAAAAGTCGTCTCAGTTCACGCGGATTTTGAGGCGCCTCAAAAGTCGTCTCAGTTCACGCGGATTTTGAGGCGCCTCAAAAGTCGTCTCAGTTCACGCGGATTGTGAGGCGCCTCAAAAGTCGTCTCAGTTCACGCGGATTTTGAGGCGCCTCAAAAGTCGTCTCAGTTCACGCGGATTTTGAGGCGCCTCAAAAGTCGTCTCAGTTCACGCGGATTTTGAGGCGCCTCAAAAGTCGTCTCAGTTCACGCGGATTTTGAGACGCCTCAAAAGTCGTCTCAGTTCACGCGGATTTTGAGGCGCCTCAAAAGTCGTCTCAGTTCACGCGGATTTTGAGGCGCCTCAAAAGTCGTCTCAGTTCATGCGGATTTTGAGGCGCCTCAGCAGCGGTGTCCGAGGGACATGAGAAACCAAGGGACGTGAGCGTTGCCCGAGCGCCCTCGTCCACCTTTGAGGCGCCTCAAACAGAGATGGTGAGATAAAGGTACAGAAGAGCTCTCACAGTGGCAGCGAGTGCGTTGCGAGCAGCAGTGTCGGAGAAACCAAAGGACATGAGTGTTGCCAGAGACACCTCGTCCACCGCCGCCGCTGCTGGTGCTGCTGCTGCTGCTCCCGATGGGGCTCCAGGTGGGGGCAGCGGCTCGTCAATGTCTGCAGCAGAGGAGGGCAGGGGGAGAGACGGCAGAAGCCAAAGGACATGAGCGTTGCCAGAGACACCTCATCCACTGCCACCGCCGCTGGTGCCGCTGCTACCGCCGCTGGTGCCGCTGCTACCGCCGCTGGTGCCGCTGCTACCGCCCCTGGTGCCGCTGCTGGTGCTGCGGATGGGGCTCCAGGTGGGGGCAGCGGCTCGTCAATGTCTGCAGCAGAGGAGGGCAGAGCGAGGGAGGGGAGGACGAGAAGGGTGGGAATATATCTGAGTCGGCTCTGTGAATTCTAGAATTCTTAAAAGCTCTTGCCAAGGATGGGGCTCCTGGTGGGGGGAGTGGCTCGTCAAATGTCTGCAGCAGAGGAAAGTAAGGCGAGGGAGGGGAGGATGGGAAGGGTGGGAAACAGGTGTAGAAACGAGTGACATATAGACTGCATACCATTCAGGCCAGAACCTTGCAGTTGTATGATCAGAATCAAAACCAGGAGAATTAACAAACCGTACCTGAAACCGAAGAAGAAAAAGAAAGCCCTGACAAGAATCTGAAAAACAGTTCGAAGCAGGCAGGCAACCCCTATCAACGAAGCAGAGCCCTACCTGCGTCGTCCATGTGTTCGAAGATCCAGTTAGCCGCCTCCTCCACTCCCGCATTGCCTGTCAGCACAGCTGCCTTCTCACAGCGCACGCATGATCCTTGCACTGATAAAAAAAACGGAGCATTATCCGCAAGACGACCCCTATTTACCAAAACCTTACCCGCGTCGTCCATGTGTTCGAAGATCCAATTGGCCGCCTCCTCCACTCCCGCATTGCCCGTCAGCACAGCTGCCTTCTCACAGCGCACACGCGGGAACCCCATGCTTTCCAGCGACGCCACCACCACCTCGTCCGCCTGCAGCACTGCTGGCCCGGGCTCTGCCGCGGCTGCTTGCCCTGCGCCCTCACCTCCTGCTGCATCTGCGGTGGGGTGGGGGGAGGTGGAGGGAGGTGGAGGGAAGATGGAGGAAGTGAGGAACCCTGTGCTCTCCAGCGATGCCACCACCACCTCGTCCGCCTGCAGCACTGCCGGCCCCGGCTCTGCTGCTGCTGCTGCTGCTGTTGCTGCTGCTCCGTCTGCTTGCCCCGAACCTGCTGCATCTGTTCAAAGAGAGGCAGTGGTGGGGGCGGGGGGGGGGGGGGGTGAGGAGAGGCAGGATGGAGAGAGGAACATGCTTTCCAGCGATGCCTCCACCACCTCGTCCGCCTGCAGCACTGCTGGCCCTGGTGATGCAGCTGCTGCTTGCCCCGAACCTGCTTCTCCTGCTGCATCTGTTCAAAGAGAGGAACTGGTGGGGGGAGGGAGGAAGGCAGGATGGAGGGAGAAAGGAACTCCATGCACTCCAGTGATGCCACCACCACCTCGTCCGCCTGCTGCACTGCCGGCCCGGGTGACGCTGCTCCTGCTGCGGCTGCTCCTTGCCCTGGGCCCGCACCTCCCGCTGAGTCTGGTGGAAGGAGAGAGGAGACGAGAGAGGAAGAGAGGAGAATGGGGGGAGTGTGCGGGAGCAATATTG